TTTAGCTCTCTTTTGTTGGATATTTGGTGGTCATTTGGGCAATTTGTTGAGCTATAAAAGCTGTTTTTTTTTGTTGTTATGTTGATTCCTAATTTTTGACCTCTTTATTGTCGAGCTATGATGGCTGTTTTTTTAGTTTTTTCAAGTTAGTCGCTGATTCGAGCTTGTTTAGCTCTTTATTGTTGGTGATTTGGTGAGTATTTGGGCTTGTTGTCGAGCTACAACGGCTGTTTTTCCTGAGGTCGCTGATTCGAGCTTGTTTAGCTCTTTATTGTTGGGAATTTGGTGAGTATTTGGGCTTGTTGTCGAGCTACAAAGGCTGTTTTTTTCAGTTTTTTTCTGTGGTCGCTGATTCGAGCTTGTTTAGCTCTCTATTGTTGGTGATTTGGTGAGTATTTGGGCTTGTTGTTGAGCTACAAAGGCTGTTTTTTCTGTGGTCGCTGATTCGAGCTTGTTTAGCTCTTTATTGTTGGGAATTTGAATGTATTTGGGCTTGTTGTCGAGCTACAAAAGGCTGTTTCTTCAGTTTTTATGTTGTTTTTCAGTTTCTATGCTGGTTCGAGCTTGTTTAGCTCTATATTCTTGGGTATTTTGTGATCATTTGGGATTGTTGTCGATCTACGAAGGCTGTTTTTTTCTGTGGTCGCTGATTCGAGCTTGTTTAGCTCTTTACAAAGCCATCTTTTCATTCCTTTTTTTGGATGGGCAATGATGATAATAATAAGCTGAGAATGCAGCCTATATTTATTGTGTATTGTTTAGGCGAGGCAATTTTGTGTGGAATGCAACCCTTATTGATATCTCAATTCTTGGGTGAGGCAATCCCTCAAAATAGCAGCCTACTTTTCACCATAAATTGATAGGCGAGGTAATCTTTTATGATAAATCTATTTTATCCTGAGCCCTAATGAGTTTTCTTTGTTGTCTTCCACTTTCTTTGTTGTTGAGCACTTTCATGAGTTAATGGATTTGTGGTTGATATTTTCTTCACTCAATTTCTCTATTGGGGCTGTTTTTGGGTTGCAGATTCTGTTACGAGCTTGTTTAGCTCTCTCTTTTTGGGTTTTCGGTGGCTTATTGTGCTCATTGTTGAGCTGTTTTTCAGTTATTATGTTGTTGAGCTGTTGTTGGGTATTTTATGGTCATTTGGGCTTGTTGTCAAGCTTTGTAGGCTGTTTTTTCAGTTGCTATGCTGATGCGAGCTTGTTTAGCTCTCTATTCTCGGGTATTTTGTGCTCATTTGGGCTTGTTGTCGAAATATGAAGGTTGTTTTTTCGGTGGTTATGCTGATTCGAGCTTGTTTAGCGGTATTTTGTTGGGAATTTGGTCTCTTTTTGGGCTTGTTGTCGAGCTATGAAGGTTGTTTGTGGGTTATGCTGATTCGAGCTTGTTTAGCTCTTTATTATTGGGAATTTGGTGAATACTTGGGCTTGTAGTCGAGCTCCTTGATCTGTTTTTTCAGTTCATATGCACATTCGAGCTAGTTTAGCTCTCTATTGTTGGATTTTTCTGTGGTCATTGGGCTTGTTGTCAACAATGGATGCTGTTTGTGGTTATTATGATGATTCGAGCTTGTTTAGCTCTCTATTGTTGGCTATGTGATTGATATTTTTGCTTGTTCGCTGTTTGTTTTGGCTATTATTTTGGTTTCATGCCTCAATCAAGCTTGTTTAGCTCTATATTGTTAGGAACTAGCCATTAAACTAGCCATTATTAAAATAACAAATATGGTAGTTAACAATTTTCTATAAATTTGACATATGTAACCAAACAAAAGAAAAAGAAAAGTTGCTATTTCTATAAAGTGTGTAGCACATTTTCTTGTTTTGAACCAAACAAGCAAACTTCAAAAAACAAGAAAATTTGTACTTTTTGACTTCTCAAAAGTTTTCCTATAAATTTTTTAAGAAATGCAAGGAAATCAAATTTTTGATGGAAAACATTTCTTACAATTTATAGAAATGTAACCAAACACCCCCTTGGCATAGAGCGACGACTCGGGAGTGAATTCCCCACGTACAGGAGATGAGATCACCAATGGAAAAAAGACCAATGATGTGGAGTCATTAATGTGGATTTCCGCTGTTTAGGAAAGCAAAAAAGACTTTCTACAGTGAGACCAAGACGGCAAAAAGGATTCTCAATCGATATTCAATCTCTAAGGCGTGTTTCAGCAAGCAAAAGCTCAAGAGCAGCTTCTTCTATTTAGATATTACCTAAGGATTGCCACGCACCCCTTCTTGTTCTTGATTAACGGCTAGAAGGCGAAAACACCACTGATACGACAAAAAGCCTTCGCATATCACCCTGCGACTAATGTATAAATTATAGAATTAAGAGAGGAAGAATATGACAATCATATGTTTCTCTGTGCCTATTTATCTCTACATAAGTGCATATATATATAGTATAGGACAAAATCTCAATCCTTTAGGATTAGAAACCGATAGCCTTTGAACCGGTTAACTTCTGAATCATGACGAAGTAGTTCAGTACAAAACTAATTTAAGAGGGAGTTAGCCATACTGGCCCTAAATTGCTACTATTTAAATTAGGCGTGAGCATAGTTCGGTTCAACCTGAACAAATCGACCAAACTGGCCGAAATATAACAGTTCGGTTCGATTTTTATTGGAGTTCGGTTCGGGTCGGGTTGAAGTTTTTTCAATCCGGACCGACCGAATTGTATTACAAATTCTAATTACTATTTACATCAACTTAAACCCAACCCATTATAGTTCATGTAGAGTTACTTCTCTGTAATTTGATATATTTTTCTCTCACGCGACTTGATAGCGATAAAATACCCCAACAATAGTGTCCTCTCTAATTCTAGAGCTTTTCATTATCACTAGTTCTCTATCCCCCTCTATTACATATTCGCTTCTTCTACTTTGGACCAATCCACTTTAGATGTAAGAAACTTAAATCATAATATTAATTCTAACATTTTCATGATTTTTCTCCTCGATTGATACATTTTTGGACCAGACTTCTCTTTGGATCAGACTTATAACTTTATAGAAACTATACCCAACATCCAAGTTATTTACATATTTTTCATTTACTTTGTCTATCAGATTGAGATCACTTTAATTCTTTATGTAAGTTTTTTCTAAAAAAAATTATGTAATCTTTGGTAGGAATAAGATTTTGATTTCTACATCTAATATTCAGTAGCATTTAATAGTCTATAAATTTTAATAAATTAAAGTATAAGAGACTTCTTTCTTCGTCAACAAATTAGAGATGAAATTAAATTTCTTCGTTAACAAATTATGAACATAACATTTGTACCTAAGTGAAAACCGAACCGAACCGAACCGACTTAAATTGGTTCGCTTCGGTTTTGAATGATATGCAGTTCGGTTTGGTTTGACCAAATTTGATCAAAAACCGAACCAACCGACCGATTGCACACCCCTAATTTAAATCATTTTTGCCATGATCCATCAAAATATTAATTATCATCTTCAATCATCTATCTGTACAACCATCAAATTTAAACTCAATGCTTGGCGCATGTAAGAATCTTCCTACTTTATATGAATTTCTATATGGCCCCTCTACTTTTTCCATAGCACGCCCTGTGTTCATATATATTTAGGCTTTAGGTTATTTCGTTAAGAAATATCCGATGAGATCCTCATTCTCCGATCTCTTCTCCTAATAACCCGCTCAAAAGGGGCTTTCCCGTAATTTCGTCAGCCCACAGACGTCCAAATTGGATTCGTACCAATTAGAAAAATGCAAAAAACAATTTCCCCCTTTTTTTAAAGGAGTGGGAAAAAATGGGGGAGGCAACAAAAACGGATTACCTCACAAAAAAACCAATTAAACAAGTGGAGGGTAATATCGTAAGTTTGGACAAATCTATTCTACGCGAATATTATGCAAAAACATGCCTTGCTTTTTCATTTTACAAAATGAACCTGTGTTAATTAGAATTTTATCACCTCATTCCTTTACTAAATGGAATTTTCTCTTCCACATACAAGAGTTTCACCTGGTGTATCATAGCAACTCAGGTTCCAATTTCACTAGTCATGAATTTAAGTAGATTTTCTAAACATGACACTACTGTACGAGTCACGGTTTCGAGCTATAGACCAGACACTTAACTTGTGAGGACATGTTAAAACATAAAAATTTAACCCTCAACTCCAATCATTACTTCATATTTTGCTATAATAGTTAGAAACTTTCACACAGACATACAAATAATAGCATATTTAGAATAAATGAAGTATTGGCATAAACCAAGTATAATGTTATAGATACATAGTTAATTTCTTATGCTGAACTTGGAATTATTTTAATATTTATCAGTGACAAATAGGATGAAAGGGAAAAGAAAATTTTCTTATTATTAATAGCAAGATAACATCGTAATGGAGAGGAAGTTTAAAACTAGCAAAAGCATAAGGATATTAGCATGCAAAATAGTACACTACAGATATATTTTCTATTTTATAATCAGCTACATATTCGAACTGTTAGGTAACGTTCATCATCCACCCTTGTTATCTTCTCCAAATGATAAAGAATAAAAGAATCAAACAATCATTTTCTTTTTTCAAGTATTATCAACAATTTATATCTGTACGGGCATATGGCTAGATTCTAGTAACATTTTTCGCGTCCTTGCATATGGAATCAAAAAAGAAAATCAGAACTGCTTTTTTCATATTGAGTTAAAATGCAATATTTTCTTTACAACTCATACATTGGACTGGATATAATAAATTCAAAAGGAAGCAGTACTCTTCTGAAAACTTCACTTTCCCCATGTACCCTCACATTCAATTCCTCAATTCCCCACACATCAGGGTACTTTGACCATCACCAAAATCAATTCCTTAAGGGGTACATCTGTAATTTTTATTACACGACAAATTTGTATAGGGAATCACAAGGCCCTAGAGAAAGCAACCCTTTCTATCTGTCAGCCACCGCCTATATTTTATTCCAAAAAATAATAATTCCCAAATATTCCCAATCTTTCCATTCTCCCCCTCAATTCTCCCGCCCTTTTCTCTCTAACCCTAACCCTAGTTCCTTTTCCCTAACCGTGGTTCATACTTCTCCTTTATCGATCTCTTCCAAAAAAATCGACAAACCCTAATTTATTTCGTCCGATCTAGCCCTGGAAACGATAGATCTATCGGCGGTGACGAGATCCAACGCCATGGTTGTCAACGGCCGACCTTTGAAGCGAGCGAAGAGACGCGTGACAGCAGATCTGCTCGATTTCCTCGCGTTCTCATCCGTGATTGATGCCGGTGGTAGGATCTCGGAGGGAGCGTTCAGATCCAGCGTCAGATCGTTCCTTTCAAAGCACGCGAGGCTGCCGCCGCCTCCGCCGGCGCTGATATTCACGCCGTCGGCGATGACGACGTGGCGAGTTTCGTTCAGGATCGGTGGGGAGGGGATCGTGGAGATGGACATCGTTGAAGAGGAGGTGATCAGATCCAAGTCGGTGTATTGCGATCAGTGCCGAGTTGTAGGTGAGACGGCGATCTGTTGCCGATTTCTTCATTTCGATCTGGGACCGTTCCGGGTACATTTCCCAAAATAATTATAAAATAATATTAAAATGCCGCCTCCGCCGGCGCTGATATTCACGCCGTCGGCGATGACGACGTGGCGAGTTTCGTTCAGGATCGGTGGGGAGGGGATCGTGGAGATGGACATCGTTGAAGAGGAGGTGATCAGATCCAAGTCGGTGTATTGCGATCAGTGCCGAGTTGTAGGTGAGACGGCGATCTGTTGCCGATTTCTTCATTTCGATCTGGGACCGTTCCGGGTACATTTCCCAAAATAATTATAAAATAATATTAAAATAATAAAAAGGTGGAAATTTGTCTTTTTGACCGGATCTTTCTTTGGTTGCCGGTTTGTGCGTGACAGCTGGCCGTGTTAAACTCGGACTTATGGATTTGAATTTTAAATTAATAAAATAAAATAAAATAAAATAAAATAATAAACTAATTAATTTCAATTACTTGGTTCTTAGGTTGGGGGGAGGTCGTTGCATTTAATTTGATTTTTAACTTGCTGACAGGTGGTCTGATTAATATTTAATTTGATTATATTTTATATTATGAAGAGGACCTAAACCTGCAATAGCCGGTTATCCAGGTTATTTTGGATAAGACAGCCTAGTCACGTGAATTTCGCATGCTTCCGTGCCAAATTTATGCTGGTCTATAATTTGTTTTTTAATTAATTAATTAATCACCGTTTTAATTAATTAATCACTGTTTATCCATTACATGCTTGGATTCAGATACTCTGTATAATGAAGTTTCCATTTCATGAATCATTTTTTATTACTTAACAGAAAATAATTATTTATCTTGAATATAAATAAAGGTGAACAAGGTACAGTGATAATTATTTGAGTATTTAATATAATCGAATTTATGTAATTTAGGAAGTGGACTATGTATTACTGCAAGCTGTAGAGTTTGTGGAAGATGTTTGATCCTTAAAATTAGGATCCAATGATGTTTATGAAACAAATATTATAGATAATGCTGTTGATAGTATAATTACAATGATTTGGTTAGAAATTGACGAATAGTGAATATTTGGTGTACAAATATCAATATGTCTTTTAATGCGTACAGCAAAACAAAACTTTGTAACTATTCGAGCTTGAAATTGCTAAGTTTGCATTTGTTATTGCTTTGCATCAATTTTATAAGAATGTTGAGGACATATTTACAGTTATGTGACTTTCGTATGTGCTTGTCTGAGAATATCAACAGTTATTTTTTGTTGCAATTTGTGATCTTAGTTTAGGTTTCATGAGTTGCTGATCATTGGATCATTTATTTGGATGCACAGGTTGGAGTGGGCATCCTGTGTGCAGGAAACGGTACCATTTTATTATAAGGAACAACAACAATCCCTTTTCTGGGTACCATCAGATGTGTATGCGATGTGGATCCATGTTGCACATGTTGGATTCACGGTGAGACAAGTATCCCTTGTGTTTCTTTTAGGTCTTCTTTGTTTGGAGTTTTTGAGGCACTCCTTTGAAAAGCTAACAGAATTTTAAAAACCAACTGTTGTATAGTTTTTCACTAAATTATCACAATTTCAAGATGTTTAGTCCATATTAGTTCTTATGTCTTGAGAAAATTTGAAGCTTTATATGAAGTATGTGCAGTTAATAATATTTTATATATGATTTGATCATGTTTTGTTGCTTCCTTGATATTCAGTTCAGTGTATGTTAGGCTAGAGTGTGAATGCATATTTTGTTAGTAAGAACGAGATTGCCATCTCATCTACTCTGGACTGGAAAATGATAATTGTACTATAATAGTTGCACTACTCTTGTACTCTAAGAGTCTTAGACACAGTGAAGTGGGTCCATTGCAACTCTTAATTTACTTTTGCAATTTATATGAAAAAAGGTCCCGCTTATTTGTGTGTAGGAGTACATAAGAGTAGCATAACTCTTGTGTATGGTTATCACTACTACTCCGAATAGGTGGTCAGTTATCATCACACAAAATCTATCGTAAAGTAAATAAAGCGATTTGAAAAAGCCTAATTACGTTGTTGAGGTGGTGCATTGTTCATTGATGCTTTTAATAAAACTGATTTGATTGCATTGAAGAACAGAGAGGATGTGGTGTAAGTGATGAGAAAAGGAAAGGGTAAAAAGGAGAGGTGACA